ATCTTATAAAAGAACTTGATGCTTAAGAAAAAGTGCTATAACACGTTGTTTTTTTTTCTCCATTTGTGAAGATATGCCTCACTTCCAAGTGTAATAAAAATACTTAATATTGCCTTTCATAATACAATGGAAACCCAATTACATTATTTTGTACAGTGCTTGCATGTGTTAAAGAAACCAAACCTGACATTAAAATCCCTGTGGACCCTAAAAAAAGGGGTTTTTTTTTTTGCATGTAATTTTTTTTCTTCCTAAAATATACAACTTCACAATCAATGAATCATAAGATTTCCCTTGGGATGAATTAAAGGAATTAAACCTTTACATGAACTAAACCTAGTAAAATATGCTCACTGTATCAGGCTTCAGAAACATTTCTAAACCTCAAAGACCACAATGAGAAAATAAAGAAACATTCMGTTATATTTATGGAGCCCATTTATTTCTACAAGTTAATGCTGCCTACATTTGAACTTTCAAGTAATGTGGCACAACAGGAGTGAATACATGGGAATGAAACAGAGTGAAAAACTCACATCCACTGTCACTCTTCAGGTGATTTTGCTCTGGACTCCATGTATACTTCATCCATTAGAGCTCAAATGGATTAGGTGCAATCCTGGAGGGTGCCAGATAGTTTATTTCTGTCAGAAACAAGTAGTTTGGGTACTCTGAAGATGTTCCATGATGACAGAGGCCAAACCCTGATGAAGGGGGATGGCAGGAGATGGTCTCAAAGGCAGAATTACGACTGAAATGTAAGTACTAAATAAACACATCTACTATCAACACAAAAAAACTCCCTCAGAATATTCCCCTAAAAAAAGTTTCAAATAACACTTTAAGTTAATGTAAAAAGAAAACATTTAAAGACAAACATTGTTTGCAAAATGTTTTCTGTGTCTTAAATTACTACTCTTCTATATAATCAGTCACTTGTTTTTCCCTACTTTTGTGAAATTCCACCACAGAGATACAAAATAAAAAAAAACATGTATACATTTAAGACATATTACTGTAGACCTCTAAAGCAGTAGATAWTCTGGATATATACAAAATGTATACAATACATAGTCTCCCTTTACTGTAGTGGTCTGGCTATTAGTTGTGCTTTTCTCCCAATTTAGGAAGTTAAATGCTGCTTAGTTCCATAATAATTTTCATGAAACATGATTTGCTGACAGCAGACAGCTCAAATAGTAGTGCATTCAATAGTTAAGTGTTACATACTTAACAGTGATAATAAACCTAAATTTTAAGGTTGAGTAGTCATTACCAAAACAAAACTGTTTTTCTAAGTATTAAAAAAACTTACCTATCTTTATATAACTATCTTTAAAAAGGGCAAAATTTCAGCCCATATTTGAGCCAGAGCTCAGCTCAAAAATATTCTGAAGATKAATTTCATTTGATTTTATCAGTTTTAATGGCTTTTCTGTTTCTGCTGAAATAAAACCCATGAGAAAACAGGAAAAGCATCTGTTCCTCAGTGTCACAAAGCCCTGTTAACTGGAGTGTGCTTGAGTGAAAAGCCCACAGATCAAGTACATATCCTACTCAAATCAGCAAATCTGCTGTAGCCTGCCCTATATCTTATTCATAAAAAGTTATTGTTTTTATTGTTATGTCTATACTGCGTTCCCACCAGTGTCTGTCTGTCTACCAATGCTGATATAAAATTTTAAAATCTGGTTTTCCTGGCTCTTAACTGCAGGACCACATGCTTCCAGGTGGGAAATGCTCATACAGCAATGGAGGTCACATTCAAGTATTTTGACTCAATTTGAAGATCATTGCTCACCTTGCTGGATTGTGTAGGTAGACAAAGAAAAATTGCTAAACCAGARATCCAGCCTGGTAACAATTCCAGCATGGTAAAAAAATTAACATTCATCAAATTACTGCTAAAATTCCCATGCTAAAATCATCTTGCCCCACTGACAGAAATACTAAGTCTCAAAAGATATTTCTGTTGGCTATGGTATAAGAGTTCTGGAATGAAGAAACCTTGAGCTTGCTATTGCAAAGGTTTGGTGAGTGGTGCTTCTGAATCAGTATGTTCAGGCTCCAGTGAGTCAAAAGAAGCCAAACCAGGCTGCCAAACAGAGTGATGGGAAGAACATATCATAGAAAACAGCAGTTTTATCTCCTCCTTGCTCTGGTGAGAGCTGGGATCTCCAGGGACAGCAAGCAGTACACCCAGCTATTACACATCACTTAAACATATCTTCAATGACAAGGCAACCATAAAAGTAGTTTGATGAACTTACAGTTTGTTAAAATAGGACACTGTACCAAAAGAAATAGTTCCCTTGTAGCACAAGTGGTTGCCTTCTACGTATAAACCAGTCATGTTAAAAAATACTTTGCAACAGCATCATAAAAGACAAATCTGGTAACTTGCTCAGAGTCMATCTCGACTGTGACTTGTTCCTCCAGTTTGTTTCATGTTAGGAAGAGCGATAAATCTCCCTAGTGTCTTTATTTCAGGTTGAAATGAAACACCAAACCAAAAGCTGTACATGATGATCATGATTTCTGGTCTTCCTCCGGTGGGATGACTTCCAAGAGGATTTGCAATGTTCTGGTTACCCTGCCTGCAAAGAGAAAAGTATGCACATGATAAGTTGTTTTGCTGGGGATATGAAGAAGGAGAAGCAGTCAGGAAAATTATCTTAGCTTCTATACATCCTACTTGCACATAATGTTCACACAGGTCATATATATCACATATATATATATATATATAATTTAAATTCAAAATTTTCTTCTTTTTAACCATGTTTTCTTTGCCTCTGATCCAAGGCTATGCATATGCAATAATAATGGAAGGGTACGGATGTATAATCTTATCCAATAAAAGTCTGCAACCTTTTAAAGGCTATCTTAAAAAATTACTACTCTGCATAACTGTTTAGTTTTAATCAAGTTGTAATATTGAAATAAAAGTCTGGAAGAGTTCAAAGAAGTTAATTTAGCTGTGCCAAGACCTGCTTACGCAGCTAAAATAAAATAAATTTTAAAAAAGGAACTAATTATTACAAAGCTTCACAGGTCACATATCCAAAACAACTTCATGTTTTCTTTTTGTCACTCTGAACATTTATTTCTTTCTGGTGATTTTGATGGTTGTCTTTTAGGGGTACTGATGCCTAAATGGCAGAGTTAATTCACATACACCACATATAGAATAGTAAAAGAACATTTTATTATGATCCCTTTCACCTATCACTCTTTTTTACTATCCTATTTTAAATAAGCAGGAATTGCTGTAAAAGAAAGTTCTGATTTTCCTTGAATGTCGACATTGACACCAGTGCAAAGCCAGGAATGTAAAACAGTGSAACTCACAGAAGATATGAACTGAAACCACCTTTCTGACCTCCTGTCTGAGGCAGATTCTACCATTCTTTCCTCTTTTCTCTGCATGTCACCACTTCWTTGCAAAGCCAGGTTGCCCTCAGACTATAAACTGAAAGGTTCAGAGAGGCTGAGTCTCCAGGGATTGCATTTTCTTCCCATCTGCCTTCCCTACCTGTGGTGGGGACATCAGAGCTGGGCTGAGTGTGGCAGGGACAAAGGACAGGAGGAAAACCAGCAGCAGGAAAACAGCAGGGCTTTGCCCCTGCCAGCCCAGGCCTTCCAGCTTTGAGGACAAGCAAAGGGAAAAAGAGAATTTTACAAAGCTGAGCAATGGTGTAAAAGCTCTTGGAAAAGGGCACAGCAGCRGAGGAAAATCCTGGGCATCTCTAGAGCTGGCTGTGATTTTGATACACTGTTCACCTCAGTGGACAGACCCATCAGCAGCAAGACCTTGCCCAGTCCTTCATTTCCATGCAGCAGTTTTGCTCTCTGCTTGGATGAGGCCACGGAGGAGCAGACAAGTTGGGGGAACTGGCATTTTTTTGTTGCAATGTACTCAGAATAAATCAGAATAAGGAGCATTCTCCCCTATGAAAATGTTCCAGTCTGTCTCTAGTCAGCATCTCTGTGTTGTCTGCTTGGAGCAGTACCCAGAGTTACAGGACCAGTTTCACATTTGTCATAGGATAACATAGTTAACAGTGTATGTAACTTCTCCAGCCCCCTTTAAACACTAATTTTCCCTTTCAATAGAAGAATTTACTGCAAATTGGTCCCAGGGGACAACCTTTATTAAAAAACCCAGACCTGGTATCTACACAAGCACAACATAAAGTTTAGGTGAYGAAAGAAAGCAGGAACTTTAATGCATATGACTCGATAAGAAATCTGTGACAACAAAATGCTGAGCTAATTTCCCATGGATGCCATCATAAACTCAACAAAGAGAGGCTAACTGAGCATATAACACCTGGTCCTAATTGAGCAAGTGTCATCCTCTGTTGTTGCTAAATAACCCTGGCAGAGACATTTTGTTATTTGAAGAGGTTTCATTTCCAGTAAGGGCTCAGCTATGAAAAGAAAGGATTCAGCTTCCAAGCTCCTCTCAGTTCAACCCACTGTAAAGAAATAGATGTTTTGAGTCTAAGGTTGGGTTTTGAACTAAGGAAGTACAGCTAGAAGCATTCTTGTGCTAATGACGCATCCTTTTACACACTGATCTGSCGCTAGGCTTGAACTATTTTCATTTTCAAATTAGTTCTACAAAAAGCAAGAAAGCAGAGGTCAAATGAAGCTGAAAATTATTTGTCCCAACACATCTAATGCTACAGCAAAATGCCTTTGGAAGATGAGAGGACAAAATGTTATTCTCATTTCAAAATACCATCCCAGAACTTAGAAGCCCTACAAATTGTAAAGTTACCTTTTGTTCAGTGCAGCAATTTCGTAAAGAGAATGGACAATGTAAATGCCATAAGCATTCAGACTTGGGAGAGGATTCCTTGGGTAATCCATTCAAGGATAATCAGCCTGAAACTCCTTTCAGAAATAAGTTATCTTTAGGCTGGCTCTTTCGTCCCATGTCTCATTCTGTCTGCCCAATACCCCTCCTCTCCCCTGATCTTTACAAAACCTGTTCAGGACATTCCCTCTGACCTTAAGTGGGTCTGGTCTGTACCCATGGGTTTTTGCACCTTTTGGGGTTTATGAGCAGCAGYCATTTCTCATCACCAAAGTACAGCTGGGCAGCTGAACCAGGCAATGTCTCAAGGTGACTTTTCAAAGCCCCACATGGTCCTTTACCCCATGTCTGGAATTACACTTTCACACCTATATAAGACATACTGTTTCAAGGTTAGAATATCAAGCTTGCAGCTGCCCAATTTCTTTTCTATATCTCACAGACGTACCTTAAGTGAATTTGTCCTCATTCAATACCTTTTGTAAATGTTCTCAGGCTATACAGTGGGGCTCCCTAGTACTCACCCTAATGCCAATTTAATGACTCCACACAGAAAGTTTATTGCTTCTTAGGGAAAAGAAAAATCTGTTYATTTCACAAGTAAATCTCCACTCTGCTCCACCTCAAAAGTGTCAGCATCACTTTTCTGTCATTCCTGTTGTTATTTAGGGGGTAACAATTGCAAAGCTAACAAAGCTGTTTCCCTCACTGACTGGCATGTGCTGCCTTCCCCTCTGAGCCAGTATCCCGTGCCCATCCATAGGTAGGACAAGACACCAAGCCTTCTTTCTAGGAAGAGAATTTTGTGTTCTCTCAAAAGCTAGAAATTATTCACCTTCATTGTCACAGCTGGCAGAAAAATCTTCACAAATATCCAGTCTACCTTAAAGAGGATATTCTTTCTCTCACCCAAGTAATGTAGTTCAACACTGGCATCCTGTGGCCAAAGATTCAAGTAGCTGTATTCCTAAACTTCTAAGACATGACAGAAAATGTTAAAAAGTTCCTGGGTTTGATAAGAGAAAAATTCCTAGTCCCTAAATGTCAAGACTGAGAAATTATAAACAGACTAAACCCTAACTACATAATTTTCATACAACTGTTTTAATTCGTACTGAAGGTTTCTACCCATTCCTAGGACACTGCAAGTAATAGATAACTTTTTGGCTATAAAATKAAGAGCTTGCTAGCTTTAAACTAGTATGTTTTTCTGTAAATACTTTCTGCCCTATTGCTTATGGATTTCCCAGCATGTATTGAGAGGGACATTCACATATTATACATCAAACAGGTTACAATGATATAACGTGTTTCTATAGAGAAAATACATACAACTGGTTATAGTTTAATTACATGTAAAAACACTATTCTTGTGAGCAGCTCATTTTAAATCAACAAGTAAGACTAAGCACAGAACACAATATGCATTTTTGATTCAGCATCTATACAAACTATTTTTAAAGATTTCACAGGCTGAGTTTCAGTTTTGCAGCAAAAGAAGTTTTATTTTGTTTTTGTTTAATAAACTATCCATCATTCCTTAAATAGCTTGCCAATAGTCTTATTTCATGTTTCGAAAATTTCTTTCATTTTGGAAGCCTATGATCCCAAGTAACAAAAATTTGAGAATGAAGAGCTGTAATAAATGATACTGACTTCTAATTGAAATATTCCAAATAATCCTTCTCTAACACTTCCACATATGCTTCCAAAACCTTTCAGAAATGGTGCAGAAATTATTCTCAATGTATTTCACGCGTGAAATACTACTAGCCAAGTCACACAGAAATCATTCTTCATGAAGCACACAAATAATTTCCATATAGGCATGTCAGCCATGGTATATTTTTCTATCACCTWGTCAGGAGCCCCTGCTAAGGACAATATCCCCATGCCCATCCTGCCTGAACCTGTCCTATTCCAAACACTCCTCAGTGGTCCACATGGTCTCAGTAGGGATCTCCAAGCTCAGTATTTCAAATGGATTCCCCAAGGAGTGCAATACTGTCTTTATCAGCACAGAGACACTGTAGGGAGAAGGTGATGGGTGATTTCAAAGGAATTAGATGTTTGTAGGGGAGGGAAGGGAAGAAGCATAAGTCATTAAAAGCCAATCACTGGCTGAAGAACATCCTTGCTGTGAATGTACCTCATTAGTTATGGGACATTGCCACCAGCAGAGCAATGCTTAGAGCCTGTGTCTGAAAGAAACTTGTGCTGAGAGCATCAATACAAAGGATTTCACAACATGGGAGAGCTCTGAGAAACTCTGGAAGCCAACATGAAAGAGAGGATTCCCACCAGAACTCACCTAGAAGCTTTCTGAACCACTTTGGCTTATTGTCCCATACAATAAAGAGGTAGTAGGCAGGAATGCCAGTCAGGGTKATTGCAAATCCAATCCCTGTGTTCACTGGGTCAGAGTAAAGTGACAGTGCAACCATGAAGAGGCAGGTGAAGGAAAACAATGCTGGAATAAATAGAGGAACCTGAAAAATAATCACACAAAGAGCCATTAAATAATAAGGTCACTGTAAAGTAATAATTAAGTAATGACTAAAGTAATAACTTTCCATGAAATGTAAATTGGATAAGACCCAGCAGTACAGGACAGTTCTGGAGAAATCAGGGTATCTAGAATAAGCAACAAAATGTCTGTGACTGCGGAAGCCAAGCACTTCAGACTGCCTAAGCAGTGAGAACTACAGAAGTGTCTTAATTACACTCTAAAACACTCCAGTGTTTTACATCCTTTAAAATGTAAGGACTGTAAATAAGTTACATTGTAAAAGTCCTTCCTCTAATCCCCCAGTAGATAAGCAAGCAGGTCTAACCACAGTAAAGATTTCCACTTTGATAATTACCCATTAGAAAATATTTTAGAACACAACCAGGAGCTCAAGTCACCTTTTAAAACTATTAAGAACATATTGATTTTCCTCCAAAGGTAAAAATCAAAATCTAGCAGGAAGAGAGCAAATTAAACAGTAATTTGACTAGTGATAAAGATATTTGATGTCTGTAATGCACCTGACAGCTATTGAAAAAGCACTTTCTGACTGTATGACTGATAGCATTGCTTGTGTCAGTGTGGAAAGCACACAAAGTAGCAATATCAAATTTATTTGCTCAATTTTCAAAACACCATTACAATCACTTTTAGCAGCTCTCTGAAGGAAACGCCTACTGGCATGGCTTATGAGACAWTAAGTGTAATGGAGAACTGAGAATTCCCTGGAGATTTTTCTCTTYCTTTCATGCCTCAAAGCATTACTGTTCCTCTTTTGTGCACCAAGCATTTTTTTAATCAAAGCAAAACACCTTGTACTGTTGACCTCCTTATTTATAAATATACCTACAAGAACGCAACAAAACACATTCTTAGTTCTTCACAAAATAGGCTTCTTAGCAGAACCTAAATAGGGACAGATTTCTCCATTTTTTTGGTGATGAATATTATCTTTCTGGATACAGAGCAGGACAACTGACTTTGTAAGTTTGATACTTAAAACAAGCAAGAAAAATAACAGAACTAAGGCCAAAATAGCTACTGTTCAATGACCTGGGCTATTAGCATTTTCTTTCTGGGTTTCACAATAACTCTTTCTGCAAGCCCACTGCAAGTGCCAGATTTTACAATAACACTAACCACTTATTCTCATAGAAAACTGGCATATTTGATATTGGATATGCAATGTTCTATATATTAATTTTTATGCTTGACGTGWCATTTTGGTGGTAAAATTATCCAGGCCTTTATCAAAGGAGACATTAAATACAGGACAGGCTGAAAATCAGGTTGGCACATGTAACCCCAATATTTGCAGTCTGTGACTGCAGAGGGCTCAAGGTATTTTTACACTGCTTGCATCACACAGCCTGAACACAGTAGACAGGCAAAACTGAGTAAACACCTTCATTTCAGCACAGCAGCTTCAGTCTGCACCCCAACTGTAGGAGAGAGGTAAGAATTCTTTTCCAGAATGGCACACAACTGGGAAAACTCTCACCTTCACTGCAAAAGACTATTTACTCTTAGCACTGTTTTTCCTGAAAAAGATGCTACATCAGAAAATGCTCCTTTGCTGTCTAACCACAGGATGGAGAAAGGGAGAAGGATTCATGTAAAACAGTAGAGAGCAGAGATTACCTTGAAAGGACGAGGCATATCAGGACGTTTATATCTGAGATAAATCAACCCAGCRACTACTAGTCCAATAAAAAGCCACCTGGCAAAGCTGAGGAAATTCAAGAGGCTGTAGAGATCCCCATTGAATAACATTATCATTGTGAGAGGATGCTGCAAAAGAAATTCAAAGCRTAAGAGGGGTTTAAGTAGATCAATCTCTATTCTTTTACAGCAGTGATGTCAAATTTTTCCACAGGGACAAGCAGCACAGCCTTATGTACACACCTGAGTGCCACAGAAAAAAAGCTGCTCTGAGGTACAACTCTTCTGKGAGGCAGACATTATTATGTATAAACTAGAGTGGTGTGTTGTGAGTTACATGGTTATTGTAGGCTACATGGATCTATTTCAMAACAAATGGATAAAAACCATGCTTGCATTTGGGGATGAAAGAATAAGTTGAATTCACCATATCCCTCATTGTTCAAGAGGGAAGATCCTGGAATTGAGAACCTTTAGGTTTATAACAAGGCAACAGGTGAAATCGACAGCAGATGCAGTAAAACACTGGGCTAAATTTTTACACAGGGAAAACTAAGTTGTATTATTTATCCAGATTCACAGCCTTTCTCTCCTTTTTTTCAGAGCAGTGCAGTCAATATGGATTTGAACCACAAGGATCAATATTTCAAATGTGGGTCTCTGGCTTCCAACCTCTAATGACTTCTAAAGTACTTGGTTCTTTACAYACAGATATTAAGGAAACTCCTTCTATGTACATGTCAAAGGAAATTGTCCCACTGACTTATACGGGCAAGATTTCTTCTCTACAGACTCAGTTTCTAAAAGTTTAAAATCTCAGTTATAACTRTAATGCAAGCTATATATGATAATGCAAACTTTAGCTATCAAGAAAAAAATACAAGAAAGCAGGATTGCAATCACATTACTATTTCTTTCAATTAATACACACATCTATCAAACACCAGAACACTGGTGAGGAAAACATCCGGTCCAGGTAGTTTGGTTTGCAAATTTGGATGCAGATTGAGATGCAGATTGAAATGCAGATTGAAATGATGATAGAGCTCAGTGTGGGAGCCTGAGACAAGAGGCTGTGAATTGTCAGCCTGTGGGATAACAAAGGGTATGAAAGATTGGTGACACCAGCCAGATCAATGGACACTGGGTGACACAGCAGGAGCCAGGAACTGTCAATCCTTTGGGTACCAAAGCAGATGAAAACCTATGAAGTCAGCAAAGTGGGTGGACATGGAGAGGGGGCAGGAACCAAGATTTGGGAGGAAGAGCAAGACTTGTGTGTGGAGAGACTGTGGGGTATAAAAGGCAGGGGGTTCCTTTGTTGGGGGTCCCTCCTTGGGGACACCAGCTTGGCTGGTTTTTGTTCCTGTGCTGGGACTAAGTGACTTTGAAACAAGACATCTGATACTCTGCCATGGGAAACTTGGGGTCAAACCAGTGGGGAAATTGGCCTGACTGTGAGTGGGATGTGCAGGAGTACAGCAGTGACCCATTGAGTCACTGGAGCCACCACAGTGTGGCTCCAGTGCCAGCAGTGACATCCCTGGCACTGGGAATGTGACTGCCAGGAAGTTTCGTGAATGGTCAGACTGATAAGTTTCTCTMACAATATTACAAACAGATTTCTTAATTCCAAAAAAGTGTTGGTTTGTTGGGTGTTTTTTAATTTAACAAGCCTCAAACTCATGCTCATTATCTCAGTTTATGCTCAAGAGCTCTTTCCTTTCTTACAGYGTGCAGACCTTGGAAGGTGAAAGTGAATAGGAAAATGCTAAAATTACTATTGATGCAGAATATATCCTGCCACTGCTCTATTTGAACAAGGTGAGCTAAAAAATGGCAATCTTTGAAGGAAAGCCATCTTCTTATGAGAATCTGGCTTTTTCAAAGGAAATCAATGCACTCATGTAACAGGACCAAATGCAATAGCAGAAAATGTCTGTCAGGAAAAAAAAACATATTAATACATATTGTGCAATTCATTCCACAAAAACCAGTCAATGCAATTTACCCACAAGGTATGACTACACCCAAAGAAATAAAATGTAAACTGAATGCTTATGGAAAATTAATTTCATTAAAACTTTTTACCATAATCACACTACCTAATTTTCAAAATTTCAAAGCCTATGGTTGTATGTGAACATATAAAATTCCACAATTCAGCAGTGAGCTTATAGGCATCAATAGCAAAAACTGATTTAAATTCCACAAGCATCTGGTCTTACTAGCATAGATTCATATATGCATCTTTTGCTGTAGCTGGAAGTGCCTAAATATGGCAGAGGCCTCTCCAGATACATTGCAGTCATTGATCATAAAAGAGGGACTGAACATGCATGATTATGAAGACTGCAAGTTAAGTGAAAACCTTCCTGGTACYATGCAAACTGAACTTTGAAGTTAGTATTTTGACTTTTAATCCTAATATTTTACCATACAAATTAGTCTGCAAAGCAAAAACATGGCCAACATTAACCTCTGCTGCTCTTTTAGAAGTCAGTAACAGGATTTCCACTAAAGCACCAGTGGTTTTCCTTAGAAAATTCACAGACTATTTCCCAGGCATAAGTTTTCTAATTTTTTTAATCACCACTCTGCTGCACTGCTGAGAGTTTCCCCTCCATTATCTTAGTGCATAACTGTTTTCATTTTTCACTATAAGGTAGTATAACAAACCTTTAGGGTACTCCCAGATGCTGGTGTTTAGTTCAACTTTCAGTTAACTGAATACTTTTTTTGTTTGTTTAACTGGAATTTGTTTCTCTGAAAAGGGAACTAGCTCATCACKAGCAGGTCCTTAGAAATTCAGAGCAATAAGACATGAATTAGTTTGCAGCAATAGGCAAGAAARCAAGGACGAGATGATAGAATAAGAACAACTCCCAAATCTCATTCCTCTTTCTCCTGTCACCCACCCTGCCCAAAGCCAATGTACACATTAATAAATGAGACCCAAGCAGTGCCCAAATTCTGTTCAAATCCTCCAGGAAAAGTCTGTAATATGAATTCTAGTGCAGGAACATTTGTTTGTATTATTTACCAAAACAATGACAGCTGGCAGAGGAGTGTGCTTGCGGACATGAATCATGGAGAGAATTTCCGGAAGGTGACCCTCACGGGATGCAACGAAGAACATCCTGGTGGTAAATAAATGTGGACAGACTTTAAATGTGGTCATTATTGTGAGTAGGCAGAGTGGCTCATGAAAGTCACAGAGCACAGCAGCACTTCTGAGTCTTGTTTGAGGTATTCTGAATGAAAGCACTGGCAGGAGAAACCCACATGCAAAAATCAAAACCATCTMTGAATGAATCCCTTAATTGATGTTTGGAATGAATTCATATTTTCCCTCCAATTTTCCTCTTTCACATTAAAAAAAAAAAAAAGCAGCCATTAATCAAGGGATCCCTCGGAGGGATTAATTTCCAAACCATTCAAAAGATTTTAAAAATAGTACCCTAAATGAAGGGCAAAAATGGYCTACACCTGGCAAACAGTACAGTTATTGTTCATATCCTGCTAAAGGAATGAATCCTATTCTCCCTTCCCCTTGCTTCTATACTTTTCTATGTCTCTCAAGCCCTCACCCCCAGCAGAGCTCACCTGGAGACTGCAAAAATGCCACCATTCATAGATCCAAAGCAGGAGAGAGCCACAAACACTGGTACAGCCAAAGAAAAGTTTCCCATTAGTCGTTCAGCAAAGGTCTGTTAGAGAAGAGAGAGAAACACACAATGATTTTTCATAAAATGGGAAAGCAATTTTACCCTATCATGATGTTAGTTGTACCCCCTTTTCTGCCTCCCTCTCCAAAAGTTGTGCTGTGCATTTGTGCCTGGAATCAGGCCCTGACTCGTGTCAATTTAGACCATTATGTCTCCAAAGAAGACCGAGTCTGACTGGATCAAGGTCTGATCTGCACCCATATTATCTTTTTTCTACAGCCTTCATTGCACTCAGGTACTACCCAGTGGTATAGTCCATCCATTTCATGCTTTAGTGTTTTAGGTGAGCAGAAGAACCTAAATTGGAGTTTGGGACACCACAGGAGGCATGCACAATTTTCTTCATGTTTACAAAARGTTTTCTTTCTAGATCACCCATTAGCTACAGAATTTGGTCTTTTTTCAAAACCCACACCAATTGAAATAGCCACAGGCAGTGTCACARCTGGAAAAGAAATGGAATTATATATTTCCTCATTGTGACTCAGAAGCCACAGATATAAAAATCAGTGTCACCACCACAATTCAGCAAGAACAATCAAAGSAGTATTTCCTAGTGCAGGTTACATTGCAACTCCTTCCCAAATAAGCTCCAGTATTGATAACAACCCCCTTCCAAAGTACTCAGGATACACATTATGTAGAGACAAAGTTATGGTCTTCTGCTACACAAGATAATTCAGAGGTCTCTCTTCCATAAATATCAGTGATTCCTGCTTCCCAGGAGCTGAAGTTACAATTTTGCACTGAATTTTTCAAACAGGTACTTGGCTATAGAATTTAAGTCTGATTGACTYTGTTATAAGAGGTAAACAAATTCAGTCTAATGTTATATTATAAACACTACAATGTCATTAAATGCAATCCCACTCATCAGTCAAAAATCAAATTTCACCAAGATGCTAACAAATGCTGCCATACTAAAACTGACTGGATGTCCACCCAACTATTTTCCCCTCAGAAATACGAATAATATCAGCAAACACAACTGCAGCAGGGATATATCTTTATATTTTTTTCTTCTATAACTTACCACTGCTACAGCTTTTGAAAGCAGCAATTCCCCAGGACTGATTGTAGTGAAATAAGCCACGTTTGTTAACACATAGCCAACTGTGACGATAATCATTGAAATRCATATTGCGAGGGGTATGTTTCTGAAATACACAAGGCAGCTCATTATTTTRCAATCTGGTTGCTAGTCCCTGAACATGAAACAAACAACATGAGAAGAAGCCACTAAATGATGGTGAATGCACATTTTGTGTTCCCAAAAAGATCATCATTAGAAACTACCAGAAAACAAAAGGAATAAACAAACCCTCCAGATAAAGGATGTTTATAATGAAGAYGTGAGAAACCATCTGAGGGAGGAGCCCTTGTGAACACCAAGGGGTTTGTGGCCCCCATGTTTGCCATATAAGTATGGCCCATTTGAGCTGCCCACTCAGATTGACTTGCAAGCTGAACCCAAACACTTGCAGGGGTTTGACATGTTCCCTTGGATGCCAAAATATCCAGCATGTAAAATTCTACCCTTTCCTCCTGGGTGCATTCCTCCCCTCACAAACCTTACCACATCCCACTTATCTCTCTCACTATTCAGGGGAACATGAGAGCAGAATATGACACAGAAATAGAAACAGCATAAATTTGTATATTTAGCACRGCACAAATGATATTGAAAAGCRCACTCCCCCTAACATCCTACCWAAAAGACAGAACATTAAAAACAAAYRTATYRYAATGYCARACTTTTATATAGMATGTTCTTCYAGTCAGAAAAGCAGAATTATTTCTGTTTTTAAAAGGAAGAACAGAGGCATGGTGAATTTGTCCAAAGCCACACTGCAAGYAAATGTTTGAGTCAGGAGAAAAACCCAGATGTTTCAAATGTTACTCTAGTCTCTTTCCACTTAATATTATTGATATCTACATCACACCAAGAAAAGACTCAGGTATGAAACTAATCCTTTAAATCCAAGGCAGGGAGTGATGTTATGGACAGTCCCTCTGAGGAGAGCAGAGAACTACTCTTTCATGGCTGGTTCCCTCCAGCTGTCTGTATTAAGGCTTCTTTTGGAGGGATGGAGAAGTTGCCATATTTAAAGAATTTCATTGTGAAGGTCAYCCCATCAGGTGGAAGAAAGGAAAAACTGAATTAGGAATTCTGGTGTTGCAGAAGAGATCACAAGCACAGTTCTAAAGGACTACTGTGATCCCTTCAAAGGAAAAAGCATTTTGAAAACCAACACAAAGATCCATTCTTTGATCCGTACTTTTCTCAAAGAAACAGGACAGAATTTAAGGATCTTCTTCACTAGCAATCGTTATTTTTCAAATAGACCCTTTACATCAGTATGGCTGTATAGAGCTGGGAAAAAACTCTAACTTGAGACTGAATAAATAAATAGATTTATTTATAAATAAGTAAAGCAGGACAGTATCATTGTTGCCAATCTCAGAAACCATGGTGTCAAATGCTCCCATTAACCCTGACATACAGGTAGGTAAGAAGGTCAYGCCAGTAATGTAACACCAAATCTGGGGTAGACATCATGATACTGTATTAAGCCACAGCTATCTCATGCACACATTCTCAGGTGAAGAAATCAGAAAAAGAGAAGCCAGTCACCTTTTAGGATGTGTTTGCTGATGGAGAAGATGACAGCAAAGACTAGAGCAAAGAGCCCAGAATGCAGGTGCTGGATTGATGGAAAACCCACTCAAGAAATACTGCAGCTTTGTGTGTTGATAATGTTTGCCCAAACGGAGTTGGAAGGTCTGTTGTGGATATATTGCAACCAGTTGGGTTAACTTTCTTACCTGACCTGGGTGTAAATTGAATTCAATTCTCTTAGCATCTGATTCAAAGTAGGGATATGTGGATTTAAAGTCTATCAGAAGAGGGATTTTATCTATATTTTCTGCATCACAGATGAATGCTTCAGTCACCAAGCTTTTGGACAAATCAGCCCTTACTCCAACCTTAAAAAGAGCGTTTTCAGCCAAAGAGAGCAAATTTGGACKATTTTCACCAATACCATTTAATYAATGAAAGCATATTGTTAAGCTTARCGGATTATCTTTGTTTTAACTCTTACCAAGCAATCTGTATTCATGTCTAATTTAAATCCCAGTCTGATTTCCAATAAAATAAAATGGCAGTTCAAAACTGGGGTGGAAACAAAGAACCATGTTTCCAAACATGATCATTTTCTTAGCACTGGAAGACCTGCCTTGTTATGCTGAAGAGCGCTAATGCCCCTGGATAGTAATGCCAACAGAAAAAAAAACCACACTCAGGAGAAAAATAAAACCCCTAAACAAGTGAGAACTAGTCAGCAGGCACTACTCATTAAAAAGTCTGCAAATCATAACTCCGTGCCTGGAGCAGCACAAGGGATGCTGTCACTTGTAAACTCCCAAGTCCTTGTTTTAAAGGGGAGTGCTCAGGCTACAGCTCCTTTTGTTTCCTGGTAGATGCAAGCCTTCAGAGGGCTATCATATGCCCAACAACCCTTCCAAGTGCTGTTTATTACCCACTTCTTCAAGTGACAGATTTAGACAGAAAGGAAAGGCCAGTTCCAAGATTTCAGGGATAAGTAATACAGTCCAGTTAATTTCTCATTATAGCTCCTCTCAAATTCTTACTTAGTCCTTGAATCACCTGAAAGCACAGGCAGATGAGTAGGAACCATAGGTAAAATCACAGAGTGAAAGCTTTAATTGTGTCTTTTCTATCCATCCAATTTAAGAGGCAGCTCCAAATTTACAACAGGATCCCATTATCAAACTCTCTGCTGTGAACTACAGTCTCCATGCTGGAATAAAAGCTGTAATACCATTAGCAATAAAGATTACTTGCTTTCCTCAGAGGAGCACTATACAAATTTTCTTGGAATATTTTAGATATTCTCCAGACTTCCAAATCTTSTCTCTAAATAAGAAAAATCATACCTAGGTTCTATTCGTCATTAAATTGCCCCTATTGATGTAGTTTTCACCTTTTCACTTCTGCATTCTATGAGTCACAACACAGGGTGCCAGTAATACTGATAAGCCACGTTTCTGATGTAATACAAATTCACAGCTGCCTCCCAGCTAGCTGAGATTTTTGGTCTAGAGAGTGACAGAAAATTTTTTAAAAAATGTGTTTTCCACTTTTAATTTTTTTAAGATTTTGATTCATCAAAGCTAAAACTTCTGATGGGAAACAAGACCATATCAGATGGCTTTAGTACGTCTCTATCTGTGAGAAAAAAACAGAGAGGAGAGCAAGCAAGAGAAGGGAAAAAGAGAAAGCTAGACAAAAGGAAAAATAGAAAGAAATCCAGAGCAAGAACTTGATGATGAGAAAAACCATGTCAATAAATCAGCTGAGGAACATTCCTAGAAATGCACAGCACACATCCCAGGTTAATGGCAACTTTTATAAAAGTAAACAGTGAGCACTAAGAACTGTGACCACTGAGAGCTGTTCTTTCTATGAAATGACAACCACAGAGTCAAAGACACCCCTCCAAGCCAGCTGAGATCACAAGGGTATAGTACCTTGTTGCCAAATTCTTTGTCATTTAGAGGCCATACCAAAACCAATTCCTTGCATCCACATCAAAGTCAGGTTTTACAAATGCTCATCATATTCAACTGTTCTGGACAAAGCACAAATATTGCCTCGTCTGAAGACTTAGAAAGGTATTAATTGCACAAGGTGACATTCTTTTCCATAAAACATATCCTTTCAGGGAAACCCTCTGAGTCTCAAGTAGAAGCAGATCTGTCAACAGCCCTGGAGAAACTGAGAATAGTGGATTTGCTCACAAGGGGATTTGCTTTATTTTAATAAATACTTTAATTTGGCTCTGATGKCTCTGTGTACAAACTCTGGTTGCCAAGCCAGATCTCACCAGATCTCACCAGCTCATTTATGTCATGGCCCAAGCCCCACCCTTCAAACCAAAACCTTTAATGAAATGCTTTTCTTTGAAGAGCAGAAGGGATTCCTCTGAAACTTGGACTACCAGCCAGAGACACTCCTCATGTTCAAGCAGGATCCTGAATCTTTTTTATTGAGTGGATAGCATTCCTGGCATTCCCAAAGAAAACTCTGCCAACACAACAGATATCAAAGATGACAGCTAAATACACAAAGGTCTTTTGAGATTACAACACTAAATATCAGTCTCTCTGTCCCTGCTTAGCCATTGCAGGCATGTGAGCACTGTCAGGAGCCAGAAACTGAGTGCAAGAGGCAGCACACWGAGCTACTATGAGGAATAATTTCTAAAATGTCTTTAAAAGAAGAAATGGAATACAGACTCGAAAAAATRAAATATCAATCATCCCCTGTGATTTCTCAGTCAAATCTATTTCTATAAGTACATTCAGTGCCATCTTCACGTTACTTCAGTTGCAAACTTATTGTACAAAGTTTACAACAGTTTCCAAAAGATACGTGAATAACCAAACCTGGCTTTTATTTTGCACTGTAACTTAACCCCAAGTTACATCACTCCTAAAAACATAAATGTTCCGAGGAGCTAAGCTTGCTTTTCTTTCCTATTGCTATGAACCTGCCCGCCTGCAACTAGGCCCTACCCTAAGAATTCAGGTGTGTTTATTATTAAAGTATGGAAGGCTTAACCAGAGARCAGCCAGGTGCTGAGAAAATGCAGAACCTCTAGCCAAGGATCYGCATTTTGCATTTCAGAACCTGAAATGGCAGTGAAGATGCCCAGAAGACAATGCTTATTTATCTAAGGTGTAAATTAAAAAAAGTGGGGTTTACGTTGGACTTGTAATTAAATGGCTGTCTCCCACTCTCACAAAAGCTTGCCTTTTAAAATGCAGCATACTCTAAATTCAGAGTATTCAAATACAAATATGTTGTCACTCCTGAGTTTGATAAATTACTTCTGTRTTTCTGCCTTACATCATCATTTAACATCACCCTCCTTTTAGTTAATCTGTGGGAAACCTTAATGTCCTTGAGGAAGTTTGTGACCTTTTCCACCAGAGAGGCAAAACCTCAGATTTCACCCTTATTGTCCAGGTCCCTCCAACCAAAAGGAGCACCTCTGCTCTCTCAAAAGCTCCAGCATTTTATTTTCTTCCGAGGTCTATTTGTTGGAAGTTCTTCCAGCACTGCCAGTAG